TGAAAGAAATTATAAAAGGACATGCCATGTTCATTGATTAAAAGATTTAATATGGCATTACTTTCTAGACTATTCTACAGATTCATCCTAGGAATACAGGTTTGGTTCAACACAGGATGGCTAGACTGAAAAACACAGATAAGTTCGTTGAGGATGTGGAAAAATTTGAACCCTCATACATTTATAAAATGGTGTCATTACTTTGGAAAATAATTTGTCACTTCCTCAAAAACGTTAAACATAGATTTACCACATAAACCAGGAATTCCACTCCAGAGATTTTCCCAGGAAAGTTGAAAACATGTTCATGCAAAAACTTGTAAAGGAATGTTCTTGGGAACATTATTCATAATAGGCAAAAAGTAGAAACAACCCATATGTTCAGCAACTGATGAATAAAAATATGATCTCTCCATACAATGGAGTATTATTCAGCCATAGAAATGAGTGAAGTACAGATTCATACTGAAACATGACGAAGCATGAAGGCATCATGCAAAGTGAAAGTAGCCTAACACAAAAGGGCACAGGTTATATGATTTTGTTTATAAGAGTCCAGAATAAGAAAATCTCTATATAAAGTAGATTAGTAGTTGGAGATGTTGGGAGAGGTGAAAGTTGGGAGTAATTCGTAATGATTCTGGGATTTCATTTGGGGGTGATGAAAATGTTATGGAATTACACAGCGGTGATGGTTGCACAGTCTTGTGAGTGTACTAAAACCCACTGAACTGTACACTTTAAAAAAGAATGAACTTTATGGAATGTTAACTATATCTCAATTAAAAAGCAAAACCAATGATGGTTTTTTAAAGAAAACTCATTATTTGAATAATTCGAAGGCTAGAATTACAAATGAAATATTATATGCTACTGAGGAGTAGCTCATGAAAGTTTTACAAAATTTGGAAATTGACTAGAATGATGTATAGCACAGTATAGTAATTATGTTTAATTTAAAAGTTTAATTATATATAATTGGTACACAGTAAACTACCTACATTAGAATGTACAATTTAGTACATTTTGACATATGAATATACTCATGAAACATGACCTCATAACACATCCATCATTCCCCAAAGTTTCCTCGTGTCTCTTTGTAATGCTTCCTTCTCATATGTCCTCCCCGAGGCCCAGACGACCCCTGATCTATTTCTCTTACTACATATTAGCTCGCATTTCCTAGAATTTTATGTAAAGGAAACCATACAGTCAGTATATTACACTTTTTAAAATTCTGGCTTCTTTCACTTAGCATAATTATTTTGAGATTCATCCATGTTTTAATGTGTATTAAGAGTTTGTTCCTTTTTATTTTTGAGTAATATTTCATTGTATATCAGTCTGCTCTATTTCTCTTACTACATATTAGCTCGCATTTCCTAGAATTTTATGTAAAGGAAACCATACAGTCAGTATATTACACTTTTTAAAATTCTGGCTTCTTTCACTTAGCATAATTATTTTGAGATTCATCCATGTTTTAATGTGTATTAAGAGTTTGTTCCTTTTTATTGCTGAGTAATATTTCATTGTATATCAGTCTGTTTATCCATTTACCTGTGGATGGACATTCGGGTTGTGTCCAGTTTTGGGCTATTACAAATAGTGCTGTAATGATGTTCATGAGACCTGAGCTTTACATCGTGAACTGGGTGTCGTCTGACCCAGCCAGCCACAGGTTGTATGCACACAGCAGCAATCTATTATCTGATGGGAATATAAGAGACTGAGCTCGAGCAGGTCCAGGAGGTATAGTAGGTTGTAGGAGCAAGTGGCCTAGACTCCTTTGACTCTGAAGGTGCAGTGCCTCTTCCCTCTCCTCAATCTGGTCTCTTGGGCATGTTCCTGATAACTTAGTTGACTTTAATAACCCCAACCAGGTTTACAGTTTGTTCTGTATTATATGTACCTTGTAGTGCCACTCGGGATTGATCCTGTAGGACACTGGTGAAGGAAAATTCTCCCAGTGGGTAGAACTTTGAGCAGCACACTTAGTTGCACACGATGTCTAGACTGAGAGATGGCCAGTAGTATAGATGGACACTAACTCCTGGGCAGTTGATAGTGGTTTGGTTGGATGGCGTATTAGGCTTCACTAGAGAAACAATATACATATGTATGGAGATCAGTTGGCTCACGTGGTTATAGAGGCTGAAAAGTACCATGATCTGCCATCTGCGAGCAGGACACCCAGGGAAGTCACTGGTGTGATTCAGTCTGAGTCCAAAAGCCTGACAGCCAGTGGAGCTGACGGTGTAAATCCCAGTTCAAAGGCAGGAGAAGGTGAGATGAGATGTCCCAGCTAAACCACTGAGGCAGGAAGAAAGGGGGCAAATTCCTCCTTCCTCTACCCGATGCTCTATTCAGTCCTCAGCAGATGATACCTACCCACACGGGGGAGGGGAATGCACTTTACTGAGTCAGTGCTTCACATGCTAATCTTACGTGGAAACATCCTCACAGACACACCCAGAAATAATGTGTAATCTGGGTACCCTGCGGCCCACTCAAGTTGACACATAAAATTAACCATCACGGATGGGAAGGAACTTAAATAAAATTAGAAAATTGGTGACAAGGACATCTGGGGAAGAGGTATATGGATGGACCTCTTGGGATGGTCAGAGTGTAAAGGTATTTTTGTCCCATGTGAACGATGGGCATTCACGACGAGTTTTTAGTAATTAAGCAAGGAAATCATGTACTCTGTAGATGTCAGTCTCTTTTCCCAGCCACCCAGTGATTGTTGAATGGGCTCATGAAAACGGTGACCATGGAGGTAGGGATAGAGGCTATATACTGACTTGACAACACGGACACACCCTCGCCAAGCATAGCACCACTGCTGAGGTCCTACTATGTCAGCAGCAGAGACATTGATGACCTAACCTGTCCTTATTCACATGGGTGACCAGCCAGCCACCTACTGGTGGGTCGATTGCAGTTGGACCCCTTCCATCTTGAAGGGGGTGGAGATTTGCCCTCACTGGAATAGACATGTTCTGGATATGGATACGCCCTTGCTGCCCACGACGCTTCTGCTGGTAGCACAGTCTGTGTACTCACAGAACACCTTCCCCACCGTCATGGTATTTCCCACAGTGTTGCTTCTGACCAGTGATTTCCAAGCCATCACTTCTTTCTGAGCATAGGGAATGAGCTCTTGGCCATGGAATTAACTGGTTTTACCCCACACTCCCCATCACCTAGAAGCAGCAGGGCAACATTTGAAAGCTTACTAATATACTGGCTTACTGAAGACTCAGTTATTGTGTCAGTTGGGAGTCAATACCCCAAAAGGATGAGGTGCTGTCTTAAAGGAGACAGTATATGCTTTGAAACAGAACAATATACGGTGCTGTCTCCCCCACAGCCAGATCATATGGATCTTGGAATCAGAGGGTAGAAGCAGCTTGTCTCATTATTACGCCCCAAAAGTCATTCATAGAATTTTTGCTTCCCATCCTGGCTACCTTGAGCTCTGCTTGTTTGCCGTTCTTAGTCCCCAGAGAGGAGCTGCTCACCAGGGGACACTTCCATTGGCTCCAGGTAAAGAACCCCAGTCAGCAAGGCACTCCGCCTGACCCTACAGAGGAGAAGAAAAACATGACCAATGTGTCTGTGAAGAATCCAGGCAAGGGACAATCTCTCAACGGGGCTCGCTTCTGGAAAATACATTCTGGGTAGTACTGGAAGAGTTTCGATTCTAAGTTTATACAAGAAGAGAGAAAACGGCCACATGTACTGATTCTATTTATTTGCTCGTCTAAATCGAAAGAAAAGTCATGGTTTTAAAGTCTGTAGAAGTGGACAAATCTTTTCCAGGTCTCTGAGGTACTTGAAGATGCAATTAAAAAGAAAATCTTTCTTACCACCTTGTCTGCATAAGTTATATCATAGGACTAAAATAGAACAGGACTGCTGCTTAATACAAAATTAATGTTAGTCCCATTACATACTCATTTAGCCATCGCTGGCGATAATGCTGAGGTTATCAGTATTCATGTACTCTACTTACTTCTAGATAAAGGGCCCACTTGTGCCTTTAAAGCATTGCCTGTTCTGTCAATATCCTAGTTTGTAGTTAATGAGAAGACCGAGGCTGGGGTTTGAATCCTGGCTCAGTCACTTTTTATCTCTGTGATCTTGGTTAAGACAGTTAACCCCTCTGTGCCTGTGCTTCCTTATCTATAAAATGAGGGTGATAGTGGTATCTACTTCGGGAGTGTTGTTTGGAGAATTCATTAACATAACATATGCAGAGTCCTCACAACAATGCTTGGCCAGTAATAAACAATAAATTAATCGTTAGCAATTGTTACTATTATAATTTGACAATGCTTGCCAAGAATATAAACCCTTTTTATACCCCTTATCTCTCTTTCTCTAGCCAACTTGCAGGACACCTGCTAATTAACTGTTAGAGACTGAATTGTCTCCCACCCTCCCAAATTCATATGTTGAAGCTCTAACCCCCAATGAGACTGTAGTTGGAAATTAGACTTTTAGGGAGGTAATTAGGGTTAAATAAGGTCACGAGGGTGGGGCCCTAATCTCTATGAGGACACAGTGGGACAGTAACTGTCTACAAAAAACCAACCCTGACCTTAGCATCTTGACCTTGGACTTCCAGTCTCCAAAACTGTGAGAAAATCAATGTCTGTTTAAGGCCTGTGGTATTGTGTTATGGCAGTCCTAGCAAACTCAGACAATAATGTCCTAATTCACACATGAAGTGAGACAAATGAGCAGTGCCAACAGTCACCAATGTCACCCTTAAACACCATTTCTCTGCTGTAGGAAAGTCTAGCATCTACCATGGTGGGGGGCACACTGGAGAGTCACATGTGCCATCATGACTGCTGCCCACCTGAATCCTTCTCATAACAAATTGTTTTCAACAAAATTTATTGAGGCCCTAGAGTGACTCCCACAGGCAGGGGTTTGTTGTCACCTGTGAGGAGCACTCACTCTTATCTCTTTGTGCTTTTAAGCCCATCCTAGAGGGTTTTACAAGAAGAAGAACTTAGTCGACTGAGTCACTGATCAGATTCTGGACGAGTGTGACCTCACGTCAGCTGTGGCCTTCTATTCCCTCGCTGGCTGGAATCCTGATCGTACCACTTCTGGGGATGCACAAAGCCCTCCCTCCGACGTCTTCCAGGTCCTGGAGTCCACCCTTCTCATGGCCTCTTCCTCCTGAATCCCTGTCTTGACCGGCTGGATTGTACCCCAGAGTCGCCTTTCAAAAACTGGTCACAACGAGCATGCATGAGTTTAGCCATCCTAAGTGAAGACTGAGAGATTGCCGGAAGGAGATTTGGGAGTCGGGGAGGTGAGGCCCAGCCTTTTATGCTTCCTATCCTCTTTTCTGCTTATCTTTCCTTCCAGAATTTCCTAAGAATTCTTTTCCTTTCAGTACATAGAAGAATTCAGTTGAGTTTCAAGGCTCAAACTCACAGAAACCCCAGTTCATAAGATGCTTGCAGATCAAAGAGCCTTCCATTTTAAGGGAATTTTGCTTAAAGATTTATTGTAAACATATATAATATGTATGATATAGATACACTGATAGGTATACTACATATACATATATGTATAATATGCCATATGTTATATTTATAAATAACAAACACGTCTCTTTTTTTCTTCTTAGTACATTAGGAACAATTAAGGCAATTTAGAGATAAAAGGAACTGCTCAGTTTAGAGATAAAAGCTTGAACTGCCGAGTCTGAGTCCCCCCAGATTCACTGACTTGTGAAAGAGCTGTTTGGAATTGACCGCAGAATTTATTTCTCAGGTGCAGGGAGTTTAAAATCTGAAAGTAGGTGTTATGTAAATCATGGAGCTTTAGAAAAATCAGAGCAAAACGGATTTTCCAATCTTTTATTAAAGGTTCCCTAAGATCATGGCTAAATAATGAGAGACAGTGAGCGGGAGGGGGAGAGGGTGGAAGGGAGAGGCAGGGAGAGAGACCCGAAGTTTATTAGCCCGCACTGACTTTCCTAGTCAACATCTGCGAAGGTGAAGTCAGATTTGATTTCTATGTACTTGGACTCTAAATGAACTACAAAGAAAACGTAAAAACGTACGCAATCATGCAAACTAACAGCAATTATTTGTAAGGATGGCACGCGTTTGGAACATGCTTTATCCAGGAAAGCTTTGCCCCACTTCATCAGTGGGGCGCAGGAGGAGGGCTGGGCGGCCGCTCCCAGCAGTGAGTTTCTCGGGGTGCGTCGGGCCAAGTCGG